GCGGGGGCGGGAGGGCCGGGCAGGGCGCGGCGCTGGTGGCGGCCGGCGGAGGAGGAGGAGGGTCGGTGCCGGTGCCGGTGCTGGTGCTGCCGGGGAGCTCCGGTAAGAAGGCGCCGTGCGTCTTTAAAGTTAATTACGGGGAGGGGGATTTTACGTCTCGGGAACGGGAGGCGGCAGCGGTTAACGGGCTGCAGGCGTCTGAAGTCCGGGCGCACACCTGCCCGCAGCCCGGCTGGCAGGAGGTGTGCCCAGCTGTTGCAGCCCCATAAGCTGAGCAACAGTTATACCAACTTAACGTGTGGTTTGGGAACAGGAACCGGGTTTGTAAGTGACGTTGGCTGAAGCCTCTCGTGGTTTTTTTGTCTCTGAGTAAATTGCTAAAAACCTACGCGTCAGCCTGTAGCTGTGTCCAGTTTGCCAAGTGCACTTACTCGTTTCTTTAGTATGGAAAGAGGCTTTTTTTCCTTGTGGGGAAACAAAAAGTAACAGAACAGCAAGGATCTGTCAGAAAAAAAATATGTTTCTTCCCTCGAGGAGACGTGGTAGCAGCTTCTCTCTCTTTATGGGGTGAACAGTCTTACTGGTATCAGAGTAAGGCTTGTGGAAGGAGACCTTAAGGGGAAATTCCCTTGAGGTTAACTCATCCACTGTGCCCCACCTGAGGATCTGCTCCTTTGAACATCCTCTGACTTGTTCCAAAGATCTAGTCACCTAAACCAGTCTGTTTCATTCTGAGTTAGGCAAATTTCCTTAATAGTAACCTTTTAAAATAAATAAACTTCCTTAATAATAACCTTTTTGCATTTGATAGCCTGCGAGAGAAACAGCTGAGGGGTAGATATGGCAGATATACTTGTGACTGGAGTGGAGGCAGTGAACTGGAAAGAGCTGCTTGCTCTCTTTCAGATCAAGAACTACAACAGTTGAGTGATGCTGGAAGGCAAAAGATTGAAAACAAGTAAGAGAAAGTGGGTTTTTACACAATACTCAGGTCAGCTGTAGAGTGTTTTGCTGCTGGCCCCCCCCCCCCGTCTACTTGGATGTCAGAAAACTCATGTGGATTCAAAAGCAACTGGATGGAAGAAATAGAAAATTCATGAGAAGCAGAAAGTTGTAACCCCTGGCTTTGGAAACTGCTGAGCTGTAAGAGAACGGAAACCAAACAAATGTGTGGAGAAGATACCAGCCCATCAGAGACCCACACATCCTCGTGCTCTGTCATGTTGTCTAAGTGTAATGTGGTTTGCGTGGTGCATCAGGAAGCTAGCTGTTGGCCTGGGCAGGATTCCCTGGTGCTAATCAAAGACCTTTTCCTTTTGGATTGACATTGTGAAGCGCAGTTGCCCTGTGTGCATTTTTGTGGTGCATTGTTCTTTGATGGGGAGGATCTTTCTGCATGCTTGCTTTTCAGGCAAGGACAAGTCAGCACCTTAAATGTTATGCAAAAGATGCACAGCTGTCTGCAGACCTTTTTTGATTTTGCATGTGCTGGGAGCTTTTGTCTCACAGGAAATTCCCGTTATCTCTATAGTTCTAGGTTCTTAATTTTTTTATCAATTAATAACATTTGATACCATTGGCCACTGTACCCCCGCATCACACTGAAAAGACGTAAAGTTGACCGAGCTACTGCCGTGCCACATTGTGTCTTATGCATGCAGGGAGTGCCAAATATTAAGTGGGGAATTCAGAAGCTGTTGTCATATGAATTCGCTGTGCTGGGCCCATTGAGGTAAGGCAGGACTGCAGGATTCTGTGGCCCTGCGGCACCCAGACCTCTCTTCGGAGCTTATGAGATTCAGCCTGCCTCTGCCACACTGGAGAGTGAAGAGAAAATAATAAGCTCCATAATACAGAGATGTGAGGTTTCTAAGTCCATATGAGCTGGAAGGCTGATGATGAAGAGGCTGGTGTGCACTATACCTGGGACAAAATGTGGATGGAGAGGAGAATAATGCGACATATGCCTTAGGAGTACTGCTGCTGTGCTTTCCTCAAGGGAAAATACTGTAATATTTGTTTGTGGTACATGCAAATAGTACAATGTACAGTTCCCTAAAATTTCTTTGTAACCATTACACACACAAAGCTTAGGTATAATAGCACAAAAATATATTTCTTGCCATATAAGAGACATTGTATACCATATGAGGTACTTATCTATAGGTGAACTTCCAATGCAGACCATTGCGTCTGAACAGTTTCAGAAAGTATCACCAGGACTGTGGAGGTCATACCAGTAGCCCAAATTTCTGGCCTTGCTTGGTGGCGGAGCTATTTTATCTGTGGAGGGAGCAAAACCTCCGAGACCTGAAGTGTTGACACATGAAGTACCATGCAAGTCTTGAACTTGGTGAGGCTTTTGACAGACTCATCACATCTGGGCACTTTCCTGCCTCTCTCCAAGTCCTTTTCACGCTGCCATAGAAGGAAATTAGGTTGCTTTGATGTGATCTGTTCTTTTGATGGTGGTTTTTTCCCCCATTTTCTTGGTGCTTGGAAATGCCATGCAAGTAAACAAAAATATATGCTTATTATACAGATAATGGCTTCCACAGCTTATCACACAAAGCCTCCATACTCACTATTTTTCAGCTAACATTTTACACTTTTCTTTCATAACCTGTGCAAGCAATAATGTCGTCCCTGCTACTTCTGTACATCCGACTTCATACACGCTTGAAACACTGATAAAGGTGAAGGCTGCAGGCACCGGCAGAATGCAGCAGATGCCAGGACTTTATTCAACCACCAAGCTGGCCGTGCCCATGTCGATCTTCTGGGACAGAGCATCCTAAAGAGCTCTGCAAAGGGAAGAGACCACAGCAAAGTCCAGGAGGTAGGTCTGCAGCTCTACTTGAAATGATCTTGCTAATGTGACAAGCTGTGACTTTGGCAGTGAAGACTTTGACATGGGGGGTGATTTACAGTGGGGGCTCACAGATGAGAGTCTGCAAGCAGCTTGGTGGGGAGGTGAAGGAAACGGAGAAGTATTTTGAGCTGTTAATGGGAGCTTTTCTGCAGCACAGTGCAGTTTCTCCTGCCTCCCTGTCTAACAGGAAACTTCCACCCTCTTTTACGGTGCTACTCCTTGCCAATGTACACAAGTTCTGTCCCTTTGGGCCCAATTTTTATGTTATGCAGTAGTTTGGGGGTAAAGATTAACCCTCTCTCCACCATAGTAGTGTATTATTTTAAACTCTCATGAGTCAAAACACAGCTGTTAAACTCTAGATTGCCCCAAATTTGAAGTGAGTAAACTCTATTTACTGGGGTTTGTGGTTTTTTTTTGAAAATAATTAATTTTTATTTATTTATTTATTTTAGTCTTGACTCCTGCCTTTATGGCACATTAAGTCCTTGGCAAACATGAGTACTCCCGTCTCTTAAAAGTCAGGGAATTTAAATACTCAATATATAAGCAATCAGGCTTGAGAATTTCCATGGCTGACTACCCCTGGGCTTTCTAAACACTTTCTTGCTTTAACAAGGCTGCAGATCCCCTGAGTGGAAGGACAGAATAGTTTGGGGTGTACCAAGGGATTTGCTGAGAGATTTTTCTTTTCAGGCCTCCACCAGAACAGCTTCCATCAAAAGTTATTGTAAAGCAGTTCAGATCAGTTGGGGATGCAGAGGAATCAGATTCACTTCTCTCTTGTGCTGCTGTCTTCTTGCATGACCCTGCAGAAGTCGCTTGCCTCTTTTCCTGGCCAGAGAACAGAGACATGGACTTTCTTTACCTCAACATGTCTCTGGGACACCAACATGCAGGAACTAATGTTAGATATTTTACTACAATTATGGGGATCACTGGTGTACTGAAGACAGCTAGAAAAGAGCATCCAGCCTTTTCTAAAGAACATACAGAGAGTTGAGACTCAGTGGCAGACAGACAAGCAAAACCACTTACTGTTAGCACAGCAGGTTCTGTTAGGAAACAGATCTATGTATCCTGTGCAATGAAGAGCGCCTCATGTTTACCACTGTGACAAAGTTGTGTGTGATATCCATAACTGCCAAATCTTTGCTGAACCTGTGTTTCCCACGTATGGGGTGAGAAGCTGTCTTTCCTCTTCCAGAAGCATAAAACAGGCTGTGGTAAACTGTAGGTTGTTGTTGTTGTTTTTCCTTGGGGCACTGTGTTCTTTTAAGTTTTCAGGGTCTTAAAACTGGCAGGCTTATCACTTAATTAGGCTTGCATCTAAAAGTAACGGCGTATTTTTCCAAGTCTTGCAATTAGAGGTCTATAAGGCAGCACTTTCTTAGCTCTTTAGTTGTCCATCATTTAGACGAAATCTAAGTATTACATCAGGCAGGCCAAAACAAGGGGGTGAACTGTGTGGAATGAGGCTGGTAGTGGGTGCAGCTATGTTACAGGGGCATAGACTGAGGCTCCAGTGCAGGGAAAGTGGGTGGAAAACCAGACAAACTTGATAGAATCAACTGATCTAGATTTAATGCCAATAAAAAGTACTCCTACAGAAGCTCAGCGATCCCTATCAATAGATAATTTTGCGATGGAAATAACCAGCTAGCAGCAGTAAACACTAGCACATGAATAAATTAACTTTCCCAGCTAGCAGCATTGAATAATCAAGTAGAGTTAAAAGTTTAATTCAGACAGACAGTTACAAAAAAAAAAAAAATCGCTTAGCAAAGCACATCATTACTTTTCTCCTTCCCCTGCTTCCCAGGAATATCATCCCTCTACCTTCCCCAGAGACCCATCAAGTGACTTGATTTGTATAGAGTAGAGGGAGAACCAGAAGGAAATAACTGTGTCTTTCTGCAGAGCTGGTCGTGCAAACAACTTGACCAAGTTTGCATTGCTGTGTGAGCGGGTATGTATTAAGCAAACAGAGATATTTTATCAGGGAGGACTTTTCCCAAAGTGTTTTTGCCTGGGGGAGAGGGAATTGTTCCTGCTATTATATGGTAATGGTGTTGGTTGCTGAAATACACTGTGACCTGGTTTCCAAGGAAAGGTGTAGACACTGGTTTTGCTTCAGATGCCTTTGAGGGATGGGGAAGTAACAAGTCAGAGAAAGCACCTGTTTTGCTGCTCTGTTTGATTTTTCATTGTTGTTAATGCCACCTACATGAGAGCACTTACCCTCATTGATCCCTTTCTACATTCTCCTCTTTCGTCATTTCCCAACCTCTGTTCTGCTGCTCCTACTCTTCTTAGCACCCATTCCCTTTTTGTTTTTTTAACCTAAGTGATAAGCAAGGAGCCTGGTTTGTGCTGTGTGTCAGCAGAAGGGCTTCTGCGTGGGACAGAGAACAACATGGTGGGGTAGGAGCACTCCTGCTCCCCTGCATCCGCTCTCTCCGTTTCCTCTCCTTCCACAGACTTGCATTCAGAGTTGACCTTTTCACTTAACTCTTACTCTGTGGCAAGCACAAAAGCATGTTGCCCCACGACAGCATTTGTATCAAGTACTATGTATTTCAGATCCACTGAGGAGAGAGCACTGCCTACGCACAGCCTGGATTTTCTGAGAATCCCTATTCTGGTAGCAGTCAACGTGTCTTGCCACTCCGTGCTCTGGTTTAACCACTCTCAAGCTCACGTGACAACAGATAAAGAGATGGCTCGCACCAGCTGGCCATCTGGCATGACACCAAAAATCATTTGTGGCATCTATAGCCAACTGGAGAGAGTCACAGACCTCTTTGATGGGTAACGCTAAACCAGAAAAGAAGTAGTATAAATTCAATAGGGCTACACGTTAAGGGAGATCATGGCTTTTGTTTTTCTGTAGCTCAGCGTAGTTGGTGGTTGAGCTTGGACTTTTGCTTTACCTACTGAACAACAGGTCCTTCAGGAAGAACTGGCAGAGGGCAGAGCAGGGTGGCCAGTGGACACTGGCTGATACACACCCTGTGTTCCTCAGGAAAGTTGCACTGTGTCGGTTGTTGCACACAGACGGGTTACAAGCTTCCTCAGGTAGCCCTGCCTACAGGTCCTGCTGCTGAACTTATTGCTTTCAGCATTGTCTAGTGCACCTTTCTCTCTCCATGGGGCCAGCCTGCTCTGAGCAGAGATCCCTCCAGCCTCACTGGACAAAACTCAGCCTTCGAAGCAGGATTTTCATCCCTCTGCCTGCAGGGAGGCTTCTGGTGCATCTTGGCCCCATCAGGCTCTGGGGTTCCTGTGACGGACCTGGGGGGTTCATGTCATCTCCAGCCTGTGGGCAGCATCCAGGGAGCTTGTGGGCTCTGTAGATCCACCTGGCAGCTTCTACCTTTAACCACTGAAGTGTTTGTGTTTAGTGGAGCTCAGAAAAGACACAACAAGGAATGGGAATGAAGTGCTGGGGAGCTGCAAAATTCCTTATAGTCTCAAACAAAGTGGTTGATGGGCTGTTAATAAATCAGTGTGATCTGAATACAGACAAACTGGGGACACCTCTGCACTGCATAGAAAAGGTTGGAAGAAGACCACAGATATTGATGAGGCCAATGACACATTTGCCCTTTTTGGACTGGTTAAAGCAAACTCTTAATTGGGTACTTTTTAGTTACTAATGGTATCTGTCAAAAGTAGCTTGTCTGAACCTTCACTGTTTTTCATGGTTGAGTGTGCCCCATGGGAGTTTTTGCTAGATGGGGAGAAAGACAAGAGTAGATGTTAAAATGTAAATACCCATAGGTATTTGAGTTTTGAGTTAAAGAAAAATTACCTTGAATAATGCAGCTGTTACTTTAAAGGAAAAGCTTTTTGGAAACTGCTTTATTCCCAAGAAGGCTGTTTCCAATAGCCATAGATGAGTAATTTGTGAAATAGGATCAGAGGCTTCTGGAGGGGCTGGGGCTGTTTCTTCAGTGCCAGGGGTGTCCACTATCTTTTTTGCCACCAGGCAGTCAGTTTTCATATTTTCTGATTTGCACTGCCAATACAGGGACACAAGAGGCATTTGACTCTGTGGACTGCAGGTGAGACTTGCTGTACAGAGCTGGTAATTTGTTCCTGTTCAGAGTGAAGGGAGCTTCAGGCTCCTCCTGTGCAAGAATGATGTTGGCATTACTGAGTGGCACAGACTGGGAGCTGCTGTTACTCTGGGTACATGGGGTTTATGGAAACAGCAGAAATAATAGTGTGAGGAGCAGCAGTAAAGCCCTGGGCGCTCTCAATAACTGGGGCTCTCCATATGTGAATCATTAGGGTCTTAGTAAAGTGGAAACATGCCTTCAGAGAGGCAGCATAAGCCCAAAGCCTGCCAGTTTCTCTGCACTTCTGAAGGGAACCTGTCTGTTTCTCTGGGTTGCTTGAATCCCTCCTCAACACTTTATAGAGGGGCAGTCTCAAAGAGGGCTGAACCTGCTGTAACCCCAGTGGATATGAGCCATTGGGGGTCAGCCAAAGCAAGAGCTTGGTTCTCTGGGCCAGCTTAGGCTTGTGCTGACCAGAGCAGCTTTCAGGCTGGCTTTTCTCCATTGCTGCTGTGCACTGCTCTAGGGCGGAGGAGTTGCTGGGGTGTTGCTGGCAGAGGATCAGGGTTGGCTGCAGTGCTGCTACCCCCAGAACACCTCATGCTGGAGGGGCACCAAGGCTACGCCGCTGCAAGCAGAGCTGGCAGCGCAGGTTGGGGCAGTGACGTTCCTAGGGACACCTCACCCAGCTTGTCCCGCAGCCCGTGCTCTGGGACGAACTGACGGTAGTCCCTTACATCTTTCCACCAGCTGTGGAGGGACCTCAGATGCTTAGTTTGACAAACATTGGGCAAGGTGGGTCTCGCATGCATGGTACAGTGACCAGGGTACAGAACAGGTTCTCTGCTGGTTTTCTTCAAAGCCAAATCCAGAAGCACTCTGGGTAATTTCACCACATTGAGT